TGGGCCGGGAGTCGCACCCGGAGTCAGATGGGATAGAGGCGCCAAATACCGAGGCGACTGTGCCCAGCATTAAGTAACAGCAACGCTGAACAACCACCCGAGTCGGTGGATCGCGACACCGACGCGAGAGACTAGCTGGGGATGCCGCAGGTGGCGCATAATTTAGTCACCGGCTGTCTCGAGCGGCACTGAACTGAACCCATGATGTCGGAAGACCATGTTGGCCAACCCTGAATTGCCTTCCATCCGGCCAAGTCAATACCATACATGGCGTGATGACGATTGCAGGAGATTGCTTACAAATAAAGGGGCAGCAGGAAAGCCAGCAGCCCCCAGGAAATCGGCGCATGAAATGCTCATCAGTGTCAGCTCCGAGCAATGATCTGGTATACCGCGGTACTGGGCATCGCCGCCGACATCCTTCTCAAGCGAAATCCTTGATGGGGTCTACTCCGTAGAAGCTGCTTACTGGCCAGTGACACTTGGCGAAGCCAAGCCAGCAGCTTACTGTTACCGTGCCAGGTGCCCCCAGCTAGCCCTCGACAGAGGTTTCCCCTGCTTTGCAACCCTTGCCTCCCAACCCCTGACTGGCACGTACTCCGTACATACGGAGGAGAGGAGGCACGTCACACAACGCTTCATAAGTTCATGGGAGATGCGTCAGTCGTGCAGGTCATGGTGTAATTTTTGCCCAGGCCTGCTGAATACAAGTCCTGACAGGAAACTCCTCTGTGGACGGACCCTAAAAGACAGGGGGTCGACGAGGAACTTCGACTGGTGCAGAAAGGTGCCAATATGAGAATGGGGTCGAAGGAATACATACTTGTTCACAACTGCGCGAGGTATTATGGCTCTCTTTGTCCTCGCCCTTGAGCAATCAATCTCAGGTGGCCGCAGCAAGGCCATTAATCATGACGTTCCTTGCTTATCCGATGAGGCCGCCCCTGGCTTCACCAGCATCATGGCATGGTTTGCTTGGCTTGCGCAAAACTCGCTAGAGCGTTGTGAGCGGTTCGTCGGCCCTCTACTACCGAGCTGACAGTTTTTCGTCTGTCGCCAATTCAAACCGAATATGGCTAATACCCTCGGCCGGCAAAGCACGGCAAGGAATCGGAGATGGTTCTATATCAGGAAATTCAGGGCCGGGTAGGTCTCGCATCTGACCAAAATTCCATGCCAATCTCAGTGGAGTCTGCGGCTTTCACAAGCGCCGACTCGGCGCACCCAGGGGGTGCACGTCCGCGAAGAAGGGAGGCGGCGAATCCCTACTTGCCGTTCGAAATACGTATGTAGCCGGTGGCCCGGTTGCAAGCAAAGGCCGTGCGTGACCAGCGTGTCCTTGGATAGCTGCACAGAAATTGTCGAGAGGAAATATCTGCTGCAAGGCCCGGCTGTGGTGTTGACGGGTACTGTTCAGTTCGGAGGATGACCGCTCAGAATGAAACGAGAGAAACGGAAATGAATCATCACCCTGCGATGCCTGTGCTTCACGGGCACGCTTTCTTCAGTAGCAAGCAAGAGTGGTTTTCAGGCCGACATACGTGACAACATCCGCCAAACGTTGGATCCAGTGGAACGGCTTTTGGTATGCCGGCAGTGACCAGGCGGAGATGGCGCAGGGACCGGCTCCAGGTTATCGGAGGGAGAGCTACGGAGTACCGCGCAGGATGTGCTCTGTATGCCGGTGCTCTCCCACAACCCGGCTCCAACATCATGTGTCATGTTGCTGTTGCTGGCACTAGCAAGTTACTGCTGGTACTCCGTACGTACTTCGCGGTTCTCCGCAACTTACTTAGAAAGAGCCCGGCAACCAGGAACAAGGAGTGCGCCCGTCTCGAGTCAGCAGCTCATCACGAGGGATGCGCTCCTTGTCCGGGCTCTCAGATGAAATGTTGTGTTGGCCTGTCCCATCCCCACCCACCGGGAGAAACTTGATGGGTTCACCCCGTCAACAGGGGCGGCATCCATGTCCTGTTCGCGGGAAGCCAACTCTGAAGTTGCTGTCTCCTGACGTAACGTGTCGGTAGTGACCGACTGGCTGTCACTTGCCTCGATGTTTCTGCGTGCCGTCGCATCTGAGCCGCACCGCACCACGCACCACGGTCCGCGCAGAATCAGAATACGATCAAAGGCTTGCCCCGGTTGCTGGCCGCGGCAATCGCCCCACAAAGTTGACCGCAAATTATTCTGAATCAATGGCCTCATTCTGACCGAGTTGACGCCTTACCAAAGCGTACTATACTACGCTGGTAAAAGGAACAAGGCGAGGCCTTCGGAGGGTTGCCATTTCTCACATAACGAGCAGCTGTGTCGGCGTATAAATCCCCCGAGACCAGTATGAGACAGCTCGAGCCAAGGAAAAAAATGGATGGCGAGTCCGACTAACTGTGGCCACAGCCACGGCCATGGGCTGTTTGTCGTCAGTCATGTGCGGGAAGGGAACTGCGGCGTATCGAGTCGTCCCTCATACGATTTTGGAATTCCTCGCCCACAACAGTTTTTTTGGGTGCCACCATGCTGCCATTTGCAACATAGTTCAAGACGCGATGTTGCAGCGGCGACACGTTGAATTCTGCTTGCGCTCGTTCTCTCTTCAGTACGCAGACTGCGCCATGATCTCCTTCCTCTTCACCACGATTTCCTACCCCCGATCCCTTGTGGCAGATAGTCTGATGCATGCGGCCGGATTCGTCCGCATTAGCCTTGAGCGAAATTCAGCCCGAGCCTCCCTGTCATAAGACAGTTCTGGAGAACTGGGCGAGGTCCCCGAAAAGCCGATTCTCGAGTTCTCCGTGCCCAGACAGCTCCGATTCAGAAATCTCAATGTGCCAGGTAGTGGCCACTCCACCGTCATGATTTAAAACCTGGCCCAAGCCATTGTCGCCTGTGACCGTGTAGACAGCCAAGGGGCCAAAGACTGCTCGCGGACTGGAGGCACGGACGGGTGTGAACGACCACAGAAATAGCCTTTCCACCGTGCTCGGGGCTCGGTGGAGGCTGGATTCAACACGATTTTCGGATTCTAGAGCATAGTGCCACCACCGTTGAACCAATGGTTGACCTGATCACGTCCTTGGCCAACGTTTTGACCAAGAAACGTTGGCTCAACGCTCTGCTCAATACGGAGTATCATCACCTGTAACAAAGTCAATTGCAGAGGAGGAGGCATCAGCTCCATGCAGAAACAATCCTCTGCTCTGAATGTCACACCTAACAATTCCAAGGGACCGGATGACCTGCCGAACACATTTTTTCTGCTTCTCCGAATCCCCTGCTCGGTGTGGCATTGTGGTGATTGCGAGAGGCTGGACCCTGGCATCCAACGAAGCCGTGTCGATGCTACTAGTAATAAGCTGTTGTCCCAAGAGGCAGTAGGCCCGACGTGGGCACTTTTGACCCCGAGCGAAGATGCGCGGGGGTGTGGTGAGTCGTGACGATCAAATCTGGAGCCAACGAAGCCGACCATCACATCCGACCAACCACAAGCCTCTGCAAACGACTTCTGTTGTAGGTTCCAGAATCTTGCCGTTCCCCTTCCGCCTTCCGAACCTGTCGATTGACCACCTCTTTATATCCGATCACCAGAGCCACGTGAGCAGCATGAAAACTCGCCATTGTTCGTAGCCCATTTGCAGAGCACAAATTCCGCTACAATCACCGCCGATAGGACGAGAGTGGGCAAGTGTAGCAACTGTATTTTTCTTTTTCCGTTCCTTTTTCTTTCATACCCGTAGGGCTAAAAGAAAAAGACACCCCCTAGTTCCTGTCAATGTGAAGCATTTCGCATCTCCGGACACTCCATACCGTGCCGTCCTCTTTGTGTAGTTGGGCTGGACTTCGGCTGAGAAGGACCATGATTTCGGGCGGGATGCTTCCGTGGTCGATAGTTTGTTGTGCTGTTCTGCCCCTAATGAAATGTTGGACTCCAAGCCACCCCTCTAGATCCTCGAAGCAGTCACACACCCCCAGCCGAGGACACCCCCTCCCCGGTCATAGAAGCGCAGTACTCGTTCTCCAGGTGACCAGGATGCCGGTTGGATCCCTCTCGCCACACGCCCTCGAGATTCCAGGAGCCATGGAGAAGATTGACACTAATAGTTGTCCCTTCAGTGCAATTACCCGCTATGTTGTCGCTGATGACAGCCATCATATTCGAGAACGCTCTTTTGTCATGCAGTGACAAAGAGCCGTTCATCTGGAGTCATGAGCGAAAGGGGCAAGACACGTGCGTTGAAATCCCCCCCCATGTCGCAGCAGTCGGACGCTCTTCCGTGGTTGTACTCCTGGTGTTAGTTATATCTGGGCCGGCTTCTAACAAGCCCAGCTCAGCCCAGTTCGTCGTTACTTTTGGGTCCTCCCTCGTTCAGGCCCATTTTACATCTATTGTACTCCGTACTCTGCCGAGGGTGTTAGTTATTAATATTACTCTTTCCCCATGTCATCTCACACCTCAAAAGCAACCCACCCCTCCATTCTTACTCTGCAACGATTTTCTTGCCTGGTGTTGGAGCGTTTCAACTTTCCATCGTCTGTCCTTACCATACATCGACCACTAGAGTAGCAAGACGGCAGACGATATCGAACAACACATACAGTTCTCCAACCGAGGAACGGCATTTCCGGATTGAATTCGCATCGTCGGATCTTAAGCTCATCTTTTAACAACGCTTCTGAAACTCACACAAATTCAGTCCAGGTGGCATATATATCGATCTTCATTTATCGGCATTTATCGGAGAACTGGTCGAAGCAAAGCTTTCTGGTGGACCAACCACCAATCGGTCGAGTGCAGAGGTCGCATAACCCTCTTGAATTGACCCGGGTCCATCTCGAAGGAGACGAAGAGTCTTTCAATGGGTAGTCTATCAAGTTTTGAGCCTTGTCAGCGTTTGGATATCCCGGATACTCCGCCAGAGCTGGCGAGCCCGGGCGCTTCGTCACTATCCTCTAGATCTTCACCATCGACAGAGGAGGCTTGGAGGCTTACTGCTTCCCTACCCATGCCCACTTATGAGAAGTCTGCCAGTGCCGATGCAGTGACGGCCACTGGTGAGAAGCATGCCGGTAAAGATCGATCGGAGTTGAGCAGTCAGGTCTCCTCACGGCAACGACTGCCGTCCTTGCACAGCCTTTTCGGGCCACCGTCCTCCATCCGCTCTCTTCATTCTCCGTCTGAAAGAGAACCATTGTATCTTGCTCAGTCACCACTTGACCGATCCCGGATATCACCAGGTATTGGGAACAATAGCGCTTCGTATTTCCCCCCTCCGGCATCACCGCCAGTTTCACAACCTCGAAGCACCTACGATTCACGTCTAGATGCCCACTCTCTAGCTCGCTCCTTCTCCGGACTACGATCTCCGAAATATCATGATCAGCATCGCTGCAGATCTGACTCCAGAGCCGAGTCTGAGAGCAGCAAATGGTCGGTTCATCAGGATATCAGCCGGCACGAGTATTCCTTAGGATCGAGAGATCCCACGCATCGCTCCCCAGATGGCCGTGCGCGGACTCAACTTCCTGCATCAAAAGACCCGCCCAGAGATTATCCTGCTCAGCGAACAACGCAGTCCAGCTCTACTGCGCCGCTCACTCCGGAAGGCTCTGCGGCTTCAGAGGGTGTGCCAACGAAGGATGGTCTTGGCCCCAAGATCTGGACGGGAACGCACTTCTTGCCTAGGTTTGTTCGAGCAGCCGATGTCCCGGGAGAAGGCATGTGCTATTTCTACGATGACGGGAGTCATTGCAAGACCGTGATTGATGGTGAGGCAGTAAATGCCCACTGGGGTGTGACTAAAGCCGGCAAACCTCGAAAGAGGCTGGCCATAGCTTGCATCACCTGCCGTGAGAAGAAGATTAAATGTGACCCTGATTATCCGAGATGTGTTCAGTGCGAAAAGTTTGGACGTGTCTGCAAATTCAAAAATGCGTGAGTAATTATTTGCTCTTGTTCGCCGAACAGGTTTGTGTATGCTGACAACTCGTAGTCCGAGGGGAGGGCACAACACGTCGCCTTCTACTCCGCCGGCTGAACTCGATGATAAGCGAAAGAGCGGGGGATCGTCGAGACAGAATGATGCGAGGCTCTCAACTAGTGGATCAACCTCTCCAATCTCGCCCCGCGTTGTTCTGCAGCAACCTTCTTCACCAGAAACGAGCTATGTCAACAAGAGGCTCAAGCTCAGCTCGGATGCATATGCAACAAATGGCGAGCCAATGGCTGAAATACGCCAGCCGATGGATTACTCGAAATCTCCTCTGTCCGTTCAACAATCATCCTCGGAGCTGCCTCGAATACCTGATGATGTGCTGTATAGGGCATGGCGGACAGACCCGTATGTGTCCGATCCCCAGTCTATTAGCACAGTTCTCTCGCAATTCTTCGGCCACATCGACAATGCTATCGTTATTCCTTTCCTTCCCGAGGATATTTTCAAGTCGTGGGTCGCCAGCACCACGTATAGAAAGTCGTCAGACGACTTGATGCTCTTGTACAGCGTCTTGGCCGCCGGCGTTGTCTTGTCTGGCGGCCCTAGGCACATCGCTTTCGAGTACGCACAGGTCGCCCATTATGCCCAGAAGACTTCAACTACACCATCGCTTCACTTGGTTCAATCCAGAATTTTGTTGGCCCTGTATAGCTTGGCTACTTCTCGATTCTGGGAGGCCAACGAACTGGTCTCCTCCGCAACTGCCGCCGGCGCTTGTTTGCAACTCAATGAAGAAATCGACAGATCGAAAGACGCTGACTTGGCCGTGTATCCATTTGGCATGACGCGAACGTGCTATGCAGAGACAAGACGACGAACATTATGGTCGTTGTTTCTGCTGGAACGACTCAGCCCGTTGTTTCCTACGAGGCCGACCATGATTCATGCGGAAGACATATACATTCGCCTGCCGTCTGATTCAGAGAGTCTTGAGAAGCAACTAGATGCACGGATGCCCATGTTCAATCCGTACGAAAGCAGCTTTCATCATTTCAACGAGAAGCCTGCTGATATCACATGCCACCTCGTCGAGATGGTCCATGTTTGGTCATCTTGCCTGTCAACAATTCACAGATTGGCCTGCAGACCCAACGGATCCGACGCTGAAGGCCTGCGAGTCCGCATTTTGACCAAGAGAGTCCATGACTGGCACTCCGCGCTCCCGTCGAGATTGTCTTTTTGTGCCTCCAATCTGGAGGCGGCAGCATTTTCCGGAAAGGTCGGATCATTTCTGACTATGCATCTCCTCTGCCACCATGCCCTTATCCAACTTAACCGATATCATCTGGCTGTTGGTGAATTGTCTGCTGAATATCGCTCCAGTCACCTCCAAGAGTGCCGGGACAACGCGAGGAGTGTCATTGATGTTGTGGGCTGCTTGGATGGCCTCTTACGTATCCGACCAACCGCTCTGAGCACGTCTCCGCCAGTCATGGCCATTGCCGTAATCACCGCCGTGGACGTCTTGACTTCAAGAGGGCCCCTTAGGGTCATGAACGACGTGATCGATAGCATTGGCATTGCTAAAACAGCAGTGGATAGTAGCGCAAACATCTGGGAGCATGCCCGCCCTTCTCAGATGGCTTTAGACCAACGACTCCAAACGCTGTATAAAATTCGCGACCAGGGCTCCAGAGAAAGATCCGCTGATGACTTTTGTGTACGCAACTTCGCCAGCGATGGCACCGAGCAACCTCACTGGCAGATCCTGCGACCTTTGATGCAACTATATCCCGTCAATATGGATGTTGTCTATTTCTCACCAAATTAAACTTCAGATCTTTTACCTCTATTTTTCCGGCATTGTTGCATGAATTGGCGTTTTATTGGTTTTTGGGCACGGTCAGGCTGGCAAGCCAATTTGGAACAGTAATCGGTCGGGATTATTACTCATCTGATATATTTGAATGCTCATATCGGGAAGCAAAGAACCGGTGGCCGTGGCGGATTCTCAGTGGTTTTAAGCTCGAAGGCTATAGGATAGTGCCGAAGTCGCGCGAGACTTCGTCCATCGCTGGAATAGAAACGAAGGAAGACATGTATGACGTATGAGCATAAGCCGGGTGCCCATACATACCGGTACATATGAAACAAGGTGCCTTTGAATTGATTCACTCCCAGTTGATAATTGTAAGTAAAGAGTGGAATGAAAGCCTCGAAAAGTTGAGAGAGAGGCAGCGTACGGAGTAGCGGGCCTGCCTTTCTCGATAGCCCCTGCCCTGTTGTGACTTGGGCGGGGTCCCGCTCTGGTAACCAATCAAGTTTACGCAATGCTTGTTGAATCGCTCCGCTGACGACCACCCAGCCTCTCTCTAGCCATAGGCAGCATTCAGTAGCACCTCAACTGGGCAACGTTGTAATTGAAAATCTGAAATCTCTGCAAAGACTCGGTGCCCATTCGACGCCATCGAAATGATGGATAAATCTCGTCAAGATGAGTTTACCCGATAAACCAGCGGCTTATTTGCTTGGTTCGAATGGTACATGATTCTTCCAGAAGCTTCGAGGTAAAAACTATCCCGGACGCTATACTGACACCCCATGATCACAGGCCCTGTCCACGCCGTCAAATACTCGGCAACTCCTGGATCTTACATACTCACAGGCTCTGGAGACCGTTCCATCCGCCTGTACAACCCATTTTCTAACATTACCGTGCCGGAACCCCAGTCTGGACCAAAGCCGGAAGTGCCTCACGGCCGTCTGATTCAAACGTACTCAGCGCATGGCTATGAAGTCCTCAGCCTTGACGTCGCAGCAGACAATGAGAAATTTGTCTCGGGCGGCGGCGACCGCTCGGTCTTCTTGTGGGATGTTGCTACGGCCGTAACAACCAGACGGTTCGGAGGCAACGTTCACGGACATTCAGCACGAATCAATTGTGTCAGTTTCGCGGGGGATGGCGATTCGTTGGTAGTCAGTGGTGGCTTCGACACTACCGCACGGATATGGGACATGAAGAGCGGCAGCGTCAAGCCCATTCAGGTGCTTAGCGACGCTCGAGACGCAATCACATCGCTGGCTGTTCGGGGTCCCGAGATTGTTACGGGCAGTGTGGACGGGAGAGTGAGAAACTATGATGTAAGGATGGGTCGATGCACGGTTGATGTGATGGGAGCAAGTGTCACCAGTCTTTCTTTTACAAAGGATGGCCGTTCAATGCTGGTAGGCACACTGGACAGCAAAGTGCGACTGATGGATCGCGAGAACGGTAGCTGTCTTCGGGCATATTCCGACCCTGCGTGGAAGAACGAAGAAATCCGGGTGCAATCGCTCCTTGGCTGCCGCGAGAAGTACGTGATTGCAGGTGACGAGATGGCCATGGAACCCGGGCGCAGTGGCGAGGGTAGAATATGGGCGTGGAATTTGCTCACGGGCAAAGTCATGGCCAAAGTAACTGTGCCCTGGGGCCCACAAGGGTATGAGCAAAAGAGGAAGGCTATCGGCAGAGACGGTAAAGAAAAGACACGGAGCAATGTCACTAGCTGTCTGGCGTGGAGAGAGGATGGCTGGGGAGATCAATTTTGTGTAGGAGGTTCCTCCGGAGTCGTTGCAGTTTTCAATGTCTAAAATGCAATCCGAAATTCTGCTCGCAAATAACGAAAGAGATGCACATGCCACCAGCAAAGTTCAAAGCCCCTGTCATCAAGTCGTCATACGTAGTGATACATAATGCATGGGACACCACCCAGGATCGGAATCGGATGATCTTATAAGTCTTGCCTCAAGGACCGAATCAACAGGGCCAGAGACAAAATGATCCCAGCGTAGCAAGCGCCATGAGCGCCTAGGTCCCAAACCCAATGCCCCCGTTGCTATTCCCAAGCTCTGGTTTCCCACATTACTATTCCAAATTTCTCAACAGCCGGGTTTTGTATCATGAGGCGGGGCCACGTCATTCAAGATGGAACACGTCAATGTGCTCATCTTTCTTTTCAACCTAATCAAAGAGTGCTTACCCAAGGCCAACATATTTGAACCAGTTCGGCCTGCAATCTTCGTGATGTAAGAAAGCTTCTCCATCGGTCAGGCGTCCAGTCACGCAACCACTGCACTTGGGTGAGTTGGGGCAGTTAAAGAATGGAATGTGCTGATAACCAATGTCCCGGAACCTATTTCAGAATCAGCACTGCAACTGAACCTTCTTGAACAACTCGGGACAGTGTCGTACCAATGAATTTTGCTCTTGTCCTCAAAAAGACCAAGACCAATAGTGTGGACGGGAGCATCGCCCCATCGCTCATAGAAGAAACCACCGGCTCGGTCTAGGTGATGAAAGTAGTCCTCGTATGGTTTGCTTCTCCAGAATTCCATATCGGCAACCTCGAAGTTGCTCCAGAAATGACATGTAGAATAACCCTGGGCTCCCTTGTTATGTGCCGGGCGTCTCTCGGAGTCCGTAAGCCAGTCCAACGCATTGTTCGTATGGAGGTGCTCAGGGTGATCAGCGAGGAAGCGGACCGTTTCGGGCCACAAAGTGGGCAGTGTTTTGGGCTCATCGTACAGCGCAATGGTGAAGCCATAGGTCTTGTTGTTGTCTTGCATGTATCGAAAAACATCATAATCGACATCGCAAAAGAAATGGACTTTGGGTTCAACGCGCCAATACCACCTGGTGGTTTGAAGAGCGGGATGTTTGTAGAAGAGACCACTGTTCCATCGACACATTTGATGATAGGAGATCATCTTTGCGTACTGGACGCCCCCCTTTTCTAGTAGCATTGTAGATTCGTCGTATAGTTGTTGATCGATCCATGACGGGACGGCCCAGTGCTCCTTGGGGATGATTTCTGTACCAAGTTAGAAAAGCCTGGCTTCAGGTTTCGACACTGGACAGCCCATGATGAGGCTTACCGTAGTTGCATTTGGCCTTGGTAGCAGCCTGGGTCTTCTTCTTGAATTCTTCTGAGAAGGGCTCGTCGTTGAAAAAGGTCCACGGGTAGTTAAACTTGCTGTTCCATGTTCGCTCCAAGTCTTCCATCGAGGAAACCATTGCATCGACCTCGGAGTTTCGCACCAAGGCGAGCAAGGTGGCATTGACGCGATCAGTGTCTACGGCGTCGGGTGCATATCTGCCAGAAGTCCGTACGAGAACCCCTTCTGGTTCTCCCGTAGCTACAGCCACCCGATTGATTAGACTGGAAATGGACTTGATGGCGCAAAACAGGAACACGAACGATCTAGATTGGGATCCCGCTCAAAGTTGACATAGCGTTCGCCCGGCCCGCGCAGACCTGAGGACGGCCGAAAGACCTGGTAGAGAAAAAAACACCAGAGGATGGCGGCGGCAAGCAGCAGGACCCTGACGGGTCGTGCGATTGCCATGATGCGTTGGTTGAGCTGTGAAGCTCCGGCGCAGTATTATGTCTTGGACACAATTCACAATCCGGCCGGATGGGCGCAAAACAGCTGGAACGGTGCACGTAGTCGCCGGACAAGCCGTATTCGAGTGCGATGTAGGATGCTAATCACGTCTTGGCAGTGGACTCTGCCAACAGCCTACTCAAGTAAGTAGTAGCCGTGAAGGACACGAAGGACGACGCGAATCATTGGCCGCCATGCAAGGTACAGCGACTGCTCTAGTAGGATCCATTGGGCGATTGGACGCGAGGCTGGCCTGACAACTGCCCCACGGTCCCCACCCTTGTCAACCAACCTGACAACTACCGCCAGGCACCACGACTTACTTGACTTGACTTTGGCAACTCACCATGTCGTTGAAATACTGACCAGCTGACCTCTCTCGACGACCAGGCACAGCCGCATTTTCAGTGGACAATGGACAAGGCGGATAGCCATGTCTTTTGCGTCACGGCTTGGTGCTCTAACGCGTGAGCTGGTCGAGGTGCTGGCGCCCCCGTCCGTCCAAGTATGATTTCCTCCCCTTGCTGAGTGGATGCTCTGTCATTCTGCTTATGATGATGATGATGATGATGATGATGATGATGATGCCATTGCTAGCTGTTTCTGACGCAAAAATTAGACAGACCCCTCAAGGCTGGAGAAAATCACCGATGCTGCGTTGAAAAACTTGAAATCTCATACTTTTCTGCAAACCAATCATTTTGAAGTAGAAAAGGTCTTAGCTGGTCTTGATGAGCGGTTCCGCATCAACTGTCGGGATGACCTGGCGGATGCTTTACAACACCGCTTGGTGAAACTTTCAAGCCATCCATCGAAATGGCATCCTGAAATCCTGCACCTTTTCTTGGAACTATCTGATCAACCGACGTTTAAATCCAAACTCGGCGATTTGAAGCTGTTGGGACGCAGTGAGGCCATACCCATAACAGCCTTGCGCTGGGAGGATATCGCAAAGGAAGACGGCTGGGATGATGATGGTCTCCTCTGGCAGAACATCAATTACAGCGACGATTCTGAAGATGACAGCTATGAGCAGCAGTTCACTTCCGAGCCCGAGGTCACCTCGCTGCACAGCGATGAAGACTCTGCGGTACGCACAGCACCGTCTTACATATCGCACCCTGAAGAATCAACTACATTTGAACGGATACAGACTGCGCAGAGGTGGAGGATGCAGCCTCCATCTGGGGACATGTCAAGACATACACGGAAGGTTCCTGTTTCTGAAATCGTAGTTGTACGGGACGTCCTGTTCATGCTCCAAGGACTCGACTGCACCCTCTTCACTCGAAATTGCGCGGCGGTCCCATCTTTTCAGCTGGATGGCATGGAGTGGGAGCCGTACAGAGCCATGATGCAGAGTTTCACCGATTTTGGCGGCCGCCTTCGAACGCTTCGAATGTTTGCGGGCCAGCGACAAGACGTTCCTCACTTGCAGGCGTTTCAGGATTGCATCTCTGATCGACTTCGCAAACTTGATCATTACATATCGGAGCTGCAAACCAGTCTGGTAGCACCCTCATCAGATGTCGTGCTGAGCCTTGTCGGCACCAAAACGAAGCTGATACCGTGGCTGCAACCACTACATGCCCTGGCTAATATTGTGTCAACGATCGAGGCCGAGCCGCAATCCACACCATTCCGATACTTGGAGTTGGTGTTCGACGAGGTCTGCGTCGCGCAGCTCAGCGGAAAGGCAGAATTGTACAATTTTCTGGCGCGCATTTTTGCCGAATGCTTCAGGGTTTATCTGCGGCCGATCCGTCTTTGGATGGACGAAGGCAAGCTTCTTTCAGCCAGTGACCTGTTCTTCGTGGCAGAGGTGTCTGCCAGCACCCCGTTGGGGAAGACATGGCAAGATCGATACCGTTTGCGCGAGACGCCAGACGGAACGTTGCACGCACCCGCTTTTCTTCGAACGGCCATAGGCAACATCTACAACGCCGGAAAGAATATTATTGTTCTGAAATTGCTGGGGAAATACGACACGGCAGTCTCCTGGAAAGCCAGAAACGAACCGCCTCTCGACTACGAGTCGATGTGTCCGGCCGGGCAAGAACTTGTCCCATTCGCCGAGTTATTCGACACGGCATTCGACCGCTGGATTCAAAGCAAGTACCATGCAACGTCGACTACCCTCAAAAGAATACTTTTCGACGACTGGGCACTCCCCGCAACCCTCGACACTCTTCACGGCATTTACCTCATGTCTGACGGCTCAGCATCATCCACCTTTTGCGCCAGCATATTCGCTAAGCTCGACTCGCCGCAAGCAGACTGGCCAGACCGGTACGCCCTCACGGCCGCGGCCCAAGATAGCTTCACCACCACGGACCCTGGCCGCCTGACTGTCGCCGTGTCTGCGGACATGCACAACCTGCCCCCTTTCCAACGCCGCAACTCAGTCCGCACCGTCCTCAGCGGCATAACTGTCAACTACCGCCTTCCCTGGCCCCTACAGCTGATCTTCAACGACGCCAGCATGCAGCACTACCAATCCGTCTTCACCCTTTTGCTGCAATTCAAACGAGCCACACAAGCGCTTCAGCCTCCTAGAATACGAGACGGCTACTGGGCCGACCAGGGGAACCGGAGTGTCAGCGCCACATTCTACTCTGCCCGCAGCAAACTCGTCTGGTTCTGCACCACCATCCAAACATACCTCACCACTCTTGTCCTCATCCCCATCGACACGCAGCTACGTCATGACCTCGCGGCGTCCCACGACATTGACAACCTTGTCTCCGCGCATGAGAAAGCCCTCAAGGCAATGGCCGACCAGGCCTGTCTGGGGAGTAGATTGACACCCATTAGAGAAAGTATTCTCGACGTGCTTGATCTCGCCCTGAAACTAGAACGAGTAAGAAGCGGTGGCGTTGACAGGGAGGAACAAGTCCACGTCAGCAAATCGTACGAAACCACGTTGACGGACATTAGAGTAGAGGTAGATAGACAAGTCCGCTTCATATGGTCCGGCCTGCGGAGTGTTGCGCGCGCCACGAGCGACGCGCAGTCCGCCAAATGGGATATCCTGGCAGACATGCTCCAGGCCGGCGACGTCGACACCGCAGCATAGCAATCAAATGCCCGCACTGTTCCAAGACGACACGAGACTCTACTGTCCCTGTGGCTCCCCTCGCCCCCCTCGTCTTGTCAAGGCCATCCGCCCCTAAGCCTGTCCGCGAAAAACTTCATCAAGGGAAAAACCTCGCCCCTATCCCTCGGCATCCGCACCTCGCCCGCTCCCCACCTGACAACGTGCACATTCGTAAAGTCCCGCCTGATGGCATCCTCCGTATCCCCAGGGACCTGGCACACCAGCACGGGCGTATCGCTCCTCACCCTCGCGTCCTGGGTCGACACCATGCTCCCCGGCAGGCCGCCGCCGATGGAAACGACGCCCTTGAACGCCCTGCCCGCTCCCCCGGACGCAGGAACCTCCACGACTCGCTCGGCAGCCAGCTGCGCGGCCATGCCCAGGGCCAACGACCCGCCCTGCCCGAAGCCAAACAGCAGCACGTCGCTCATCTCCCAGCCGCACTTTCCAACCAGCACACCCTTTATCAGTCCCTCCGCCACGAGCGCCGAGGCCCTGGTGAAGCCCGGGTCGGGATCCAACTCCCCCGTGCTCGGGTCCAGCACGACGTCGTCGCCCCAGTGAAAACGCCCCGTCGACGAGGGCGCGTCGTCGACGAGGGACGGCGGCAGCGGACTTGTGCCGCGGACAGATATGGCCAGCACGCCGGGGAGGTTGAGGCTGCGGGCGAAGCTGGCGAAGGGGGTCTCGGAATCGCCCAGGCCGTGGAAGAGGACCAGGAAGGCGGCGGTTGATTCAGGAGGGGACGGGAAGTGCAGGTCCAGGTGGAGCGTGGAAGGGAGGGGCGAGAAGTCCGCACGTGTCGGTATCCGCGGCGGCATCTTGGGCTCGTGTGTGTGCTTGGTAGCTTTTGCAGTTTGTTGGCGGTGCTGTCTGAGCCAGCCCAGCCCGGGCGGGAGGGCAAAGGGCGGATGGATGAGTGATGATGAGTGATGACCAGAGTGGAGACGGGACGGGACGGGACGGGCGGGCATACAGATGACTACAAAGAGAATGCTTTGGGGCTGACCAGAAAAAGCAGTTCATTCCCGCCAGTATCTGGACTCTGGAGGCACGACTTCGCACTGCACATGCTCTTGTCGCGTACACGGTGCAAGTGGGATATCAAAGGGTATGCATAAGCGGGAAGGGACAACAGGGGAACAACGAGGACGAATCCGGCCAGACATTTGGTCTCATCGCCGTTGCTTATTTGCAGCAGCCAGGACACCGGCCAGCAACGAGCCGTTGATTGTCAAAGGTATATCCCATATCCCATATCCCATATCCCATATCCCATATCCCATATCCCAGATCCCAGATCCCAGATCCCAGATCCCACCTCGACCTCGAAACTACATCACCTGCCTAGCACGTCGTCCCCCGGGCTCCTGAGCTTGACCTTTGACGCCCCCGGCTTCATGTCCACCCACTCCCCGTCGCCAGTCCAGACGCCGGCCTTGGTGTAGTCCCCGCTGTCACTGCCATCCATGAACGCAAATCTAAAATACTCTGGCAAGTCCAACGTCTTGTCCCTCGACCAGACAAACTTGTCTGTGGCGTCGACGTCTTGGAAATACGATCTAAATCGCTCAACATCGTTGACGAGAACGCTAATGCCGTCAAATTGCATGTACTCCGACTTTTCCCACGTAAATGTAATATTGGACGGCAGAGTAGTTGTATTCGAAAGATCTATGACGGGGGCGTGAACTGCAGGCAGAGGCGTTCCCCTTTGGGCGTCGCCCTGAAGCGCGGCCGAGGTCTGCAGCACAGGGTCGAAGCCCCAGCGGGCTATGCCGTTGATGAACAGGCCGACGAGAACCCCTTGGTACAGGAGAGAGGGGCGCGTCTGCAGGCTCGTTCCCGGGAGCAACAGAAGCGCCAGGACGTAGTGGTGGATGCGCAGGTTGAGACCGGGGAGAACAAGGGAGAGCAGGATGCCGAGGAGGAAGAGCGCGTAGAGCTTGATGTACTTGATGAAGCGGGCCTCCTGGCGGAAGAACCAGACCTGGCTTGCGATGATGACGGCGAGGGCGATGATGATGATGGACAAGGCGGCCTTGGCGCCCGGCTGCTGGTTCAGGTCGTGGGCGTTGAGGCGCTGGATGGGGATGAAGTTGAGGGTGTAGTTGGTCAGGGCACCGACCCAGCATGCGCCCAGCCACAGGACAGTCTTTTCGATTTGCGCCGTCAGGCCTCTGAGCGTGCGACGGACGCCCATCCTGTCGTACATGACCCAGGCGACGAACATTGCTGGCAGGAACTTGCCCAGGACGTTGGAGAATAGCGCAGCAACGGACCTGTTGGTCGGCGGATCGGTGGCCATGCCCACCGTCCAGAAGACGCCGACGAATGTCGGAAAGAAGAACACGGCTGGAGACGACGTGAAGACGGACAGAACGGCCGTGAAGACGACGGAGATGGCCAGCAATGGCCACCTCGTGTCCTGGGATTCGCACTGGACGTCTGGCAGGAACGAGAACGAGAGCGGAAAATACGAGTCGAACCGTATGCTGGTGAGGCCGTTTCTCTGCGTGCTCAGATAGTCCTGGCCCTCGCCGACGAGCTTGACCACACCGCAACCCCCTTTGGCGTTGGAAATGACACCGGCATGGATGGCAGCGCCGCAGATGTACGAGTCGCCTCGATAAGTAGCATTGCCGGGCGCAACGTCGTTGGACGGCCCACCCACGATCAAGGGCTGATAAATGACTTCCTGGTCGCCAACGGCCCTCGGGTTGAGGACTTGATAGCTCGCGCAGCCCGCCGAGCACCGGAACGCAAAGCCGCTGCCTCTGAACGGACGGCAATCGTTGCCGTGAAGACCGCACGAGTTGCCCGAGCCCCAGTATGTCGCGCCGCATCCGATGGTTTGGGGTTGGCCCCATCCAGCAACCTCTGTCGCCATGGTTCCTTGTCTCTTGACCAGGACGAATGTAATGAGCCAAATGGCAAAATAGAAAAACAGCACCCAGGCGCGTTGCTTCAGCGTGGGGAGAAGCCTGTCGACGAGGAACAATGGGTATTCCTGGACCATGGGGAAGAGCGGCTTGATGCGATGTGGCTGCGGGTTTGCAGGGCCCTTTGACCACTTGCCGGCGGCGCGAACCATTCGGCGCAAAGGATAAGGAACCCATTTCCATCTCTTCCATCCATGTTCATCCTGTACGAATCGCGGCGTGGGCGGGTCGCTGTCGTCCTCAACTTGGAGAGTGCCGTCGCCGCCGTCAAGAGGCGCGTCCGGGTGACGGTCCGGATTGACGACGCCGTCGGGGCCGACGTTGGCTTCGCGTCGCTCGGATTCGGTCATCAGGGGCTGGTCTTCGTCTTCATGATGTCCGGCCATGATGATGTAGGAAGCCGGAACGCCAGCCATACGACAGGCCGCCTGCCGGGTCTTTTGAGACGACGTGGTTGCGAAGGCGCTCGGGTCGCGACACAGAGCCGGCTGACACGGAAGTGGGTCGTCTGGTCAAGCCAAGTCCGCCCGAGGTGTCACAGCGTGCGTGAAGCTGATCTGGGCCCCTTGGCTGTCCGGACAGCCAAGACCGGCCGCATCTCTTAAAATAGAGTGCAAATAGCTCAGGGAGTGAATCGTAAGCTTGCCAACGGCAAGGGGCAGTTGTTTGGAGGCGCAGAGGCTCGCACTGTGTTAGAAATACGCCTAGGTGGCTGGAGGAAGACGATTTGACCCCAAGGTTTGACGAGCATCTATGAGCAGCATCCAAGAGTTTTCAAGATCAGACCCGGTGGCCCTGCACGTGTGGGAGCCATGCCCCCATTGGCTCCGGTGCCACATTTTTGACCCCGTTGAGGCTGTCATGAAAAGTGGATCCATCGCCCCTGCAAACGTAAGTCGTTCGTACGGTGTACGGAGTAGCCCGAGGCCCCACACGCCTTCGGGTTCGGGTGAATGTCGGCAGGTTGCTACCTGTCCCTCGAGGGCCGCCTGGGCCTGACCAGCTGACTTCTCATTGGCCAAGTTTTCCTCTTCTCGAGCAAGTTGTTCTTCTTGATCTTCAATCCGGTTCTTATTAGTCGGTCATCGTCCGCGGCAGCAATTAGTTACCACAAAATCCTCGTCTGGTCATGCCAAGATGAGCCACTGTCAGCCAGGTGACTCAGACATGCCGGCGCGGAGGGTATTCGAGCTCTTGGGCGCCGTCGTGGCAGATGGCTGTGCAGCCCGGCTTGGACGACTGTCCATTCCTGGAAGAAGGCCAATCGAGACTCCGAGCTACACTGCCATCACCTCTCGTGGTGCCATACCTCACCTCACGCCCGACAATGTCACCAGGTATACCAACTGGGGTGCCGCCTACATGGCGCTGGAAGATTGTGAGCAAGACAGCCTCGCTCGTTCACGCGTGTATCAAAGCAAAGGAGGGGTTAACAAGAGCAGTCGTTGAACGAAAGGAACCACCCATCTACAACACCCCTGAGCATGACACACTCCGCCGCCTGCACAACTTCACAGCCTTGGCATCAGACAGAGCCACCATTCTGGGAGCAAGAAGATGCCCGGCGGTAACGACCCCCATGGGCAACGGCGCAAAGACCGTCACGCTCTTCACCTCAACAGGCTTTGCAAGCGTCAATGTGTCTCAATATGTGGCAGCAGTCAAGAGCCTACAGCCGGATGTGGTCGTGCCCTTGGCAGATTCACTTCATACGAGCTCGACTCCGGCATCGAAAAAACTCATCAAAATGGTAGAACGGACAGAGGAATGGGTCGATGACTTCCTGCGACAGTTCCAAAGTAGAGCACATTTGGAGCAATTGGGCATTTCGGTATTTGCCCCGGTTCTCCCCGTCGAGTTGCCAATTCAGTGGGATTATCTGAGACACATCGCAGAAGACGTTGTAGATGACGTCTCGGGCCTGGCGGTTTACGACGTCAACATTTTGCCCGAGCTCAAATCGTACACGTCCCTCGCAGCGTTGCCAAAGTTGTCTCTTGATCAACCCAAATCTCCTCATGATGTTTTGCGCCAAATATCTCTAGGCGTGGACATTTGTGCATTGCCATTCGTGAATGGCGTTTCTGATGCTGGAGTAGCACTCACATTTTGCTTTCCAGCACCCGAGGTAGAAACACCACAGCCGATGGGCATCGACATGTGGTCTACGGATCACAGCGTCGCGGTGGTGCCGCTGAAGGAAGGTTGCGGATGCTATGCCTGTACCAATCATCACAGAGCATATCTGCTGCATTTACTCAACGCAAAGGAGATGCTCGGCTGGGTTCTTCTCCAAATCCATAACCACCACGTCATTGATGCATTTTTTCAGGGTGTTAGGAATGAGCTGCAGAAAGGGTTGGACAGCTTTGAAGAGCAAAGTAAGAAGTTCTTGGCGGCATATGTGCCCGAGTTGCCAGAGGGCACAGGCGACCGACCCAGAGCTCGGGGATATCACTTCAAGAGCTCGGCCGGACAAGAAAAGATCAATAAGTCTACTTGGGTGGACCTGGACAGCAAAGTAAATGGATATTTCGCAGAGAATCTAGCCAATGGGAGCATATAGAGCAAATAGATGAGGGAACGAAGGAAATAAAGTACCTTATGGACAGATATACTTTTGCCAGATTTGACCAACAGGTCATGACAAAGACACAGACTTGGCAAGTTAGACAAGCAACAGTGTGGCCTTGTCGTGGACGATTTCCATAGGGACAAGTCTGGAAACAACCAGGAAGCATCAATTTGCCGCAATCAATTACCATGATGTAGAAGTTCGCGGAACCACGTAGCACGTCATATCATGCTCGGGAATTTCCGCGTGTGATGTCAGCCCGTCGCCAAGTTGAATGCTGACTGGGGTATGCGAAGAATTGAGTTTGACACGTCAGAGCGCCCAGTGCTACATTGCTTTGTTTAAGGCTGCCTCTGCTTGGATGATAGCCCAGCTACTCCGTAATTCGGTGAGGAAACCGGGAAGACGCGCGTGTCAACGCGCCAACCAAGGTCGAGGACTACTCTGGAGCCCTTGTCTGTAGTCTGGGGTGTTTATTGTCAGATATTGCGCCGAAGGGCCGAAGTCCGCGTGGGCGCAGGGGGAATTAAATGAAAATTTTAATTTATCCGTCATCAACACATGAGGGAGAGGAACGCCACAGCTTCCACTCTCGAGTCTGGCAGTTGTTGGCGAGCATTGCGCGCAGATGCAGAAAAGTCTTTGCTTAACGCATGATCTGGTTCCCACGTGTGGAGTCGCTGCAGCTTGCTGACGTTGCGGCTGTGGAGAGTTGCTTGCAGCATTTCAAGCGGAAGGAAAGACCGGGTCGTGCCTTCCAACTCTGCCGAGGCCGAGAATATGAGGATCGTCCAAGAGGGACACTTGGAACCGACCTTTTTTTTTTTTTTTTTTTTTTTCGTCTGTCTGCGTCCAGCATCAAATCTCCCGCCCTACCAACATACCATTGTTTCCCGCGCCACGTGCTGGCAACCCGTGTATCCCTGTTCCTCCAGAGTCCACATCGCCAATGGGGACCCTCGATCTGGGCACGGGGATGGTTCTCGAGACGGCGATGACGGGCAAGTGGTGGACTTGTGACGCTGTGCCCGGTTGCGTTTGAGTGGTCATACTCCCGACTCCAGACTCTTAGATCGAAGCTCGCCATGCCTCAGCTCACGCTTGGTCCAGGACGCCACGTTCGACCGTTATTTAGGTTCTCCCAGGCAATATCCGGCGCAGTCTTACTCCGTGCCATGCCAGCTTCCCCACACCATGCGCCATGCCATTCGAGCTGGTCCTTCGTCTCCAGCAGCTTTTCAGGATGAGCCTGTCCTCTCCAGGAGTGGCGTGAACACGTGCCCTTGTTCCTCAAGGTGAAGGGCTCACGGTGACATCGCTTCTGTTGCTAATCCATTGTCAATATCTCTCCACTGGATGGAGTTGCTGCTGATGGCCCCTCCCGTTATGATAAGGCGGTGCTGGCTCCGACGATTAGAAAAGAGAAATCCCAGTCGTCGAAGCTGTATCCTCGCAGCTTGACAAGCGCGATGAATGAAGAATGCCCCCCTCCAGCTATGCAGTTGGTAGTTTCCGGCCCTCGCATGGGGGACCTTCTGCAAGCGTCGGTCTCCCGCTTTGGGTGGATGTGATGAAAGCTTCCACGAGGTATATAAGCACGTCACAACCCGACGCCACACCCGAAAGTGTCTCTGGTATTTCCCTTTTCCATGCCTTGCCTCTTTGCTAAGCTTTCCCGAGGAGCCAATTGACAAACGCAGTCATGCTTGCAAAGCTCAACGTGGGTGCTGTTCTGGCAGCTTCGCTCTCCGTCGCCTCGGCCCAGACCTACCAGCGTCTTGGGACTTGCCCAACTCTGGGATGCCTTCTGCCGCCTGACCAAAGCGATTTTCTTCCCGGTCAGCTCTTTGACCTGAGAGTCGAAGTTCACGCCCCGGTCAATGGCTCCGAGGCTGCCCACAACGGCATTCCTGATGAGAATTTCAAGGTGACCATTGCCAAGGATGGCAAGGATGCCACGGATATTACCGCCTTCTTCGGAGTGAAGGAGCCCGAGCTGGAGAAGTGGAATTTCAGCTGGTACGAGGATCTTTTCGCCGAGGACAACAAGACCCCCTCGGTTGTCAATGTTGCTTCCAAAGCTTATCGCAAGCTCTGTCTGAACGAGCCTGGCAAATACACCCTGACCCTACAGTACTATGGAGACGAGAAGACAACTGCTGAATGGGTGGTTCGGCCAACTGTCAAGGAGCGCAAGGCTAGGAACGTCATCTTTTTCATCGGTGACGGCATGACCACCAACATGGTAAGCATTCCTGAAGCATTGATCAAGATGCTCCAATAACGGTTGTCAGGCGACGTGGACTAATACGATAAGATCACCGCGGCTCGTCTCCTTGGACACAAGAGCATCAACGGCAAATACCAGACTCGCATGCAGATGGACGAGTTTCCTGTTCTCGGTCATCAGATGACACACTCGATTGACAGCTACATTACCGACTCTGCCAACTCTGCCTCTGCTCTATATTCTGGTCACAAGAGCACTGTCAATGCCATGGGGTGTGTGTGCCATGTGTTTGCTAGTTTTACGCGGCTAACTGGCCCGCAGCGTCCACGCAGATTCGTCTCCCGACCCTTTCGACGATCCCAAGGTCGAGACCATAGTTGAGATATTCCGCCGAATTACTGTATGCTCATCAACAAGTTGGATGCAAATTCTAAACTGCGTGCTAATGCCATCTACGAACGCAGAAAGGTGCCTGGGGCGCAGTCTCCACAGCCTTCTTAGCCGATGCCACCCCTATTGCTCTCAGCGGCCACACCCGTCGCCGTTCTGAATATGCTCCTCTTATCGACCAGGCTCTGAACGGCGTGACCAACTACAGCTGGACCGACCACGGCGGCCCTGATGTCTTTTTCGGTGCTGGTGCTGAGCATTTTTTTGCCGGCAAGGGCAGTTACCAGGGCAGGGACTATTATGAGGAGTTTTCCAAGAAAGGATACTCGGTCAGTCTGAACAAGACGTCTCTCGAGAAGATTGACACTACACAGAGGGCCCTGGGTGTCTTTTGCCAGAGCAGCCTGCCCGTCTGGCTAGACCGTAATGTGTACACGGATAACCTCAAGAAGTTCAAGAACGACCCAAAAGGCGGAAGTGCCCCTGCACTTGATCTCCCGGGCCTCAAAGAGATGACGCTCAAGGCTGTCGAGGTCCTCCACGAGCGTGGCGGCGACAAGGGCTTCTTCCTCATGTCCGAGGCTGCCTCTATTGACAAGCAGATGCACGCTCTTGACTACGACCGCGCCCTCGGCGATCTTCTTGAACTTGACGACACTGTCCGCGAGACGATCAAGAAGCTCGAGGGGCTGGGGATTCTCAACGAGACACTCGTTGTTGTGTCTGCTGACCACGGTCACGGATTCGAGTAAGTCGGCCCCTCTGTATTGAACCACCATGCTTCACGTTGGATTCCTAACGGCCGACTTTAGTGTCTGGGGATCCGCCGACACCGAGTACATTGCCAAGCATGACGATGAGCGCACCAAGCGCAACGCAATCGGCGTATATGAAAAGTCGGGTCTCTCCCAGTACACCGAGAAGGGCGACAAGATCCAATACGGCACCGGCGTCAACTTCCCGTCAAACTGGGAGCCCCGATACGCCATCGCCGGTGGTGTCGGCGCCGCACCCGACCGCCGGGAGGACTACAAGGTCCACAAGAGCGGCCCTCGCGTGCCGGCCGTCAAGGGTGCTGACGGCAGCTACGTTGTCAACGCCAAGGACTCGCCCAACGGCATTGTCATCAACGGCACTCTGCCCACCAGCGAGGCTCAGGGCGTGCACTCGCTTACCGACGTGCCCGTGTTTGCCATGGGTCCCTGCCAGGACATGTTTGGGGGCACCTTCAACAACGTGGATATGTTCTACAAGATGGCCACATGCTTGGGTCTGGCGCGTCCAAATGACCAGATGAAAATCGAGGAGACGGCAAATATTGTCGATGCGTGCGCATAGCGGAGGGGAGGGGGGATGCAAAGACACAAGGTGGCAGGTTAGTAGGCAATAGGCTTTATGACGTGACGAGCAATTTTGGATTCGTAACATGGCATATATGATGTAATCGTGAGTATAGAGTAGACAAAAAGAGACGAACTTGACGCCCGCGTCAACAACAAGGCCGGCGAGTCGTGTACATCCAAGGGAGCGCTGATTACGAGGGGAGAGTCAGTCCGTGACCGGGCAATTCATCGTGGGATGTGGTGGTGTTGTAGGGTCGTCCCCGTCAGCGGCCAAGTGCACAAGCCGCTTCGTGCCAGCGGGGCAGTATTGTATTCTATGCGTTGCCAATGTCATTGCCCTTGGATAAAACAAGGACGGAAGGGTGATATCCGTTAACTTTTGTCTTTTGCCCAATCCTTATTTGAAACGAATCAGAATCTTCTTCCACAACGCATATATTTGCGCATTCGCTACAAGGAGAAGAGGCAGGAAAATCCACAGCCTTGAAGGTTCCCAAGGCTTCAAATCCCGACATTGAGAACAAAAAAAAAAAAAAAAAAAAAAAAA